AAGCCAAGTGCTGACCAAAAAAGAACACAAAGGTTCATCTGACATTTGCAAAAAAAAAAATCTTGATTATCACTAAAACTTTGGGGAAAATATTCTGTGGAATGAGGAAGCAAAAGTTGAAATTTTTGGAAGGTGTGCATCCCGTTACATCTGGAGTAAAACAAGCACAGCATTCCATAAAAAGAACATCACACCAACAGTCACACATGGTGGTGGTAGGGTGATGGTCTGGGCCTGCTTTGCAGCTTCAGGACCTGGAAGACTTGCCATAATTGACGGAACCATGAATTCTGTGCTCTACCAGAAAATCCTGAATTACTATGACCAGCCATCAGTTCCTGACCTCATGCTCAAGCGCACTATGCAGTAGGACACGGGTTATGCAGCAGGACAATGATCCGAAACACACCAGCAAGTCCATCTCTGAATGGCTCAAACAAATCAAAATGAAGGTTTTGGAATGGCCTAGCCAAAGTCCGAGCTTAAATCCGATTGAGATGCTGTGGCTCCACCTTAAACAGGCCGGTCATGATAGAAAACTCTCCAGTGTGTCTGAACTAAAACAATTGTGCAATGAAGAGTGGGACAAAGTTCCTCCACAGCGACGTGAAAGACTCATCACCAGGTATCGCAGATGCGTGATTGCAGTTGTTGACACCAATGGTGGCACAGCCAGTTATTAGATTTAAGGGGCAATTACTTTTCACATAGGGCCAGGTGAATTTGGCAGCTTTTTTTTTTTTTATTAAATAAAATCATAATTTAAAACACTGCATTTGTACTTACTTGGGTTATCTTTGTGTAATATTAAAATTAGTTAATTCATTCACATGCTCTGCTGTCTTCTGTGTTCACCTATGGGCATCGCCTGCTCTACTGTGAATTAATATCCCCTTCCCTTCTATCACTTCCTGTCCTGCTACCCCCTGTATATAGGCATGCTCAGTGCAGCTGGCGTTGCCTGAGCGACTTCCTAGTTTCTCTGTGATTCTTATTTCACTTGTATTCTGTGCCTGACTACCCCTGTACTGACCCCAGCTTTGTCTACCATTTTCCTGACTTCGACTTGTCTCCTTGGATCCTCTTCTGTTTCCTTCCATCTGTACTTTGCACATGTGAGTGGTCTCTTCATCAGCTGGGCATACCCGGTTCCAGTTTTCTGCAAGTCCATCCCCACCATCAGGGGCCCTGGTAAAGAAGCAGACTGGGAACCCCGAGTTGGATTTCTACCACTCTACTGCTCACTACCATAGAAACCTGACATTAGCTTTCCAAAATGGGGTCATTCTGTAGGTGTTTCCTCTGTCCTGGTGCTCCAGTGCCTCCACAAATGTGAAAGGCAGTCAGGAAATAACATGCATAGTTTATGTTCCTTTAAGTCCAAAGGTGCTCCTTGGATTTTGAGTGTATTTTTAATAAACAATCTGGTTTTAAGAATTTCAATAGAGAGCACTATGGTTTGTTTGTTTTTTTTTTTTCTTCTGAGTGGCAATGCTGTACATGTTCCCTGGAGCTGGCCCTGATGATAGGGAAGACCTTGTGGAAGATGGATTCAGTTTTTGTTGATGCTGAAGACTTTTAATAGAGTAGTGTGTTTTTTTTTGCACATCCACGTGCACTATTATTTTGCAATAGTATTTATTTTGTTAAAGCATGCACTCCTCTTTAAGTTTGTTCTATTAGACCGCACCTCATGTGTTTGTTCTACATAACCAGGTATTGTAGAGTAGTGCAGGTTTCTTTGTTTCATACTGATGTACTTCTGCAGTGGACACTATGAGGACCTGTCAGTTAGTAAGAGGCTCACTACCTCATCATCTGCTTACACAGATTCCAAAATTCTTTCTCTCCTCTTGAAGCCAAGTCAAGGTCAGGCAACCACGATTGTCACCACAACTGCTAGAAGAATTGTTCAGGATAGAAAGAGAATCTCCCACAGGTGACCTCAGGAGATGGCTGCTCTTGTCATATTGTGCTTCTTGGAACAACTACACTGTCTTTTTCCAGAGCAGCCTGTATTTCTCCTGAGACTGTAATTCTCACCCAGTGCTGCCCACTACTAAGCCACTGTGCTGCCCACCACTAAGCCAATGTGCTTCCAACCAGGGGTGAACTGACCATTTGAAAACTTGGGCACTGCCCGAGGGCCCGGGGTCAGTAGAGGGCCCCATGAGATGCCCCTGGTACCTTTTTCAGAGGCTTTTTTGAGTTTGGGCAAGGACACAGGGGCCCCATGATCCCCTATTGCCCGGGGGCCCCATGAGTTGTCAGCCTGCCCCTGCTTCCAACCACTAAGCAACTGAGCTGCCCACCACTAAGCCACTGTGCTTCCAACCACTAAGCCACTGTGCTGCCCACCACTAAGCCACTGTCCTGCCCCCCCACTAAGCCACTGTGCTGCCACCCACTAATCCACTGTGCTGCCCATCGCTAAGCCACTGTGCTGTCCATCACTAAGCGACTGTGCTGCCACTCACCAAGCCACTGTGCTTCCCCCCACTAAGCCACTGTGCTGCCCACCACTAAGCCACTGTGCTTCCAACCACTAAGCCACTGTGCTGTCCACCACTAAGCCACTGTGTGGCCCACCACTAAGCCACTGTGCTGTCCACCACTAAGCCACTGTGTGGCCCACCACTAAGCCACTGTGCTGCCCACCACTAAGCCGCTGTGCTTCCCCCCCACTAAGCCACTGTGCTGTCCACCATTAAACTACTGTGCTTCCCCCCACTAAGCCTCTGTGTTGCCCACCACTAAGCCACTGTGCTGCCTACCACTAAACTACTGTGCTTCCCACCACTAAGCCTCTGTTTTGCCCACCACTAAGCCTCTGTGTTGCCCACCACTAATTCACTGTGCTGTCCATCACTAATCCACTGTGTGCTGCCCACCACTAAGCCGCTGTGCTCCATCACTAAGCCACTGTGCTTCCCACCACTAAACTACTGTGCTTCCCACCACTAAGCCTCTGTGCTGTCCACCACTAAACTACTGTGCTTCCCACCACTAAGCCACTGTGCTGTCCACCACTAAGCTACTGTGCTTCCCCCCACTAAGCCACTGTGCTTCCCCCCACTAAGCCACTGTGCTGTCCACCATTAAACTACTGTGCTTCCCCCCACTAAGCCACTGTGCTGTCCACCACTAAGCCACTGTGCTGCCCACCATTAAGCCGCTGTGCTTCCCCCCACTAAGCCACTGTGCTGTCCACCATTAAACTACTGTGCTTCCCCCCACTAAGCCACTGTGTTGTTAACCACAAAGCCACTGTGCTGCCCACCACTAAGCCGCTGTGCTTCCCCCCACTAAACCTCTGTGCTTCCCCCCACTAAGCCACTGTGCTGTTCACCACTAAGCCACTGTGCTGCCTACCACTAAGCCACTGTGCTGCCAACCAGGGGCGGACTGACCATTTGAAAACTCGGGCACCGCCCGAGGGCCGGGGTCAGTAGGGGGCCCCATGAGTTGCCCCTGGTTTTGAGTTTGGGCAAGGACACAGGGGCCCTATGATCCCCTATTGCCCGGGGGCCCCATGAGTTGTCAGCCCACCCCTGCTTCCAACGACTAAGCAACTGTGCTGCCCACCACTAAGCTACTGTGCTTCCAACCACTAAGCCACTGTGCTGCGCACCACTAAGCCACTGTCCTGCCAACCACTAAGCCACTGTGCTGCCACCCACTAAGCCACTGTGCTGCCTATCGCTAAGCCACTGTGCTGTCCATCACTAAGCCACTGTTCTGCCCCCACTAAGCCACTGTGCTTCCCCCCACTAAGTCACTGTGCTGTCCATCACTAAGCCACTGTGCTTCCAACAACTAAGCCACTGTGCTGCCCACCACTAAGCCACCGTGCTTCCAACCACTAAGCCACTGTCCTGCCCACCACTAAGCCACTGTGCTTCCAACCATTAAGCCACTGTTCTTCCAACCACTAAGCCACTGTGCTACCCACCACTAAGTCACTGTGCTACCCACCACTAAGTCACTGTGTTGTCCATCACTAAGCCGCTATGCTGTCCATCACTAAACTACTGTGCTTCCCACCACTAAGCCTCTGTGTTGCCCACCACTAAGTCACTGTGCTGCCCACCACTAAACTACTGTGCTTCCCACCACTAAGCCTCTGTGTTGCCCACCACTAAGCCACTGTGCTGTCCACCACACTAAACTACTGTGCTTTCCACCACTAAGCCTCTGTGTTGCCCACCACTAAGTCACTGTGCTGCCCACCACTAAGCCGCTATGCTGTCCGTCACTAAGCCACTGTGCTGTCCACCACTAAAACTACTGTGCTTTCCACCACTAAGCCTCTGTGTTGCCCACCACTAGCCACTGTGCTGTCCACCACTAAGCCACTGTGTGGCCCACCACTAAGCCACTGTGCTGTGCCCACCCACTAAGCCACTGTGCTGTCCACCTAAGCCACTGTGTGCTGCCACCACCACTAAGCCACTGTGCTGTTCACCACTAAGCCACACCAATAAGCCACTGTGTGGCCCACCACTAAGCCACTGTGTGCCCACCACTAAGCCACTGTGTGGCCCACCACTAAGCACCACTAAGCCACTGTGCTGTCCACCACTAAGCCACTGTGCTGCCCACCACTAAGCCACTGTACTTCCCCCTACTAAGCCACTGTGCTGCCCACCACTAAGCCACTGTGCTGTCCACCATTAAGCTCCCTGGAGGTATGATTATTTCAGATTTTTGGTGCTGAAAGCGGTACCATTATATTGCATGGAAATATGTATTTTTTTTATTGTCGGCCTGTCATTTTTAGGAATAACTCACTGAAATCTGTCCGAACAAGAGTCTAGTAAACATCCCGGATATGATAAAACTTGAAACACGAAATCATAAATTATAATTTAATAAATAATCATAAAAAAATAATAATATAATAATAAATTTAATTCAATAATATAATCAAACCAAAAACACTGAAATGTGAAATAGAGCGCCAAGTTGGCACATCGCTGAGCTCAGTTGCAGAATCGTTTTCAGTGTCTGATGATGAATTTCCCCCACCAATCATTATCACTCAATTCTGCAAGTGGTTCTGATTTACTATCTGTTCTCTAGCCGGTCTAAAACCGCGTCTGACCTAAAGGGACGCTTTTTGGACGCCATGGACGTTTCTCAGTTTTCAGGCAGAAAGAACAGTAACAATGCAGGCAGGGCGCCGGACAAAGCACTCGGGACAAAATGTATGTGAAATGGTTGGATACAGCAATGTTTTGCTGTATCCAACCGTAAATATTAAACGTAATATTCGTTTACAAAAAATGACAGCTTTTGCCATTTTTAAATTTGCCGCCGGTTCTGGCCCCCATACGTCCCAACATCACAGGGACCGGAACATGGAAACCAGATGCTGGCATTGGCCGGAGGAGATGGCCGGGGGCGCTGCAGGGACTCCCTGAGCAACGCCGCATGGTAAGCCCGAGTGTAGCTCGGGGTTACCGCTTGTGGTACTGAAACTTTACCCCAAGCTACACTCGGGAATACTGCCAGGGGGGTTAAACTACTGTGCTTCCCACCACTAACCACTGTGATTCCCACTACTAAGCCACTATGCTGTCCATCACTAATCCACTGTGCTTTCCACCACTAATCCACTATGCTGTCCATCACTAATCCACTGTGCTTTCCACCACTAATCCACTGTGCTTTCCACCACTAATCCACTATGCTTTCCACCACTAATCCACTGTGCTTTCCACCACTAATCCATTGTGCTGCCCACCACTAATCCATTGTGCTTTCCACCACTAATCCACTGTGCTTTCCACCACTAATCCACTGTGCTTTCCACCACTAATCCATTGTCCATTCCCACCACTAATCCATTGTGTTGCCCACAACTAATATATTGTTCTGCCCACCACTAAACCACTGTGCTGTCCACCATTAAACTACTGTGCTGCCCACCACTAATCCATTGTGCTGCCCACCACTAAGCCACTATGTTGCCCATGTTATAGCAAAATATAAAAATGGTTAGATGGTTATAATAATACAAATAAATAAGTGTATAACCACCTCCACCCCAAAATTTCCAAAAAGTCACACTTTCTCCCCAGAAAGCAATTCAATATTATAACCTTTTTGTGATAGAATTACAAAAACATATTAATATTCAAATTACATAATGATAAATACTCAAAAACCAAAAAAAGTCCAATAAAAAAGTGTCCCAATAAAAAACAGTAATGTCCAAAAAATAAGTCCCAAATATTCAAACTTTATCATCCAGTAGGAAGAAATCCTATTTCATCCCGTGGTACCTCAAAAAAACAAAATTGAATAATCTAGTGCATTACCTTTGTAAACAATATATATTCACTCAGTGCAAAAAAAACACAAAAAACACAAAAACTGTGCAAAAACTATATATATATATATATCTCGTGCACATATGGATTAACTGTGACCACTCCGTGAACACTGCAACACTGTGTATCCACCGACACCAATAGTATTACATACTATTACCCTCTGTATCAATATAACCAGCATCCAGTCAGAGATCTTCTATTTCCTCTCCAAAGAAATTTTTCCAAGGTCCTCAAAAGACAAGAAGGGTCTCAAGGCTCATATTCAAGGTATATATAAAAGGTTTTAATAGCCACTTACATTAAAATTCCACATATCCAGCTCCCAACATGGTTCCTATGCAAGTTCTGCCAAACAAATGCAGTAAGCCATGTGAAAACAACCCACAAAATGGCCGCGGCGACACTTCCGGTCTGCGTGCGTGCGTATCGACGTCACACCCTTAACGCGTTTCGTCACTTCCGGACTTCGTCTGAAGGGATACGGACGTCCCACATCTCTCTCCTTATAAGTTAATGTCTCTTAATGGTATGAGGCCACCGCCGCCATTTTACAAAAGGGAAACCAGGCAATAACGATTCCTCTATCACTCTAATGGGTACACAGAACCAAACATATATCGGTCTGATCAAATTACAATACCCAAAGGGTAACAGAGGACTTCAAATTCCTATTACATATAATAAAATACAGTATACAAATATAACTCTATACATCCTTGCCTTAATATTAGCCGAAAATTAATAAAAATATTATAAAATAAAACATTACACCATATACTAAAAATATATATATATATATATATTACCTATACTCACCCCCATATTTAAAAACATTTTAATGAATAATATATATATATATATATATATATGTCTGAGGGGCTATTAATAATATTAATATTTTAAAATTAATAGTATTCATTAAAATGTTTTTAAATATGGGGGTGAGTATAGGTATATATATATATATATATATTTTTAGTATATGGTGTAATGTTTTATTTTATTATATTTTTATTAATTTTCGGCTAATATTAAGGCAAGGATGTATAGAGTTATATTTGTATATTGTATTTTATTATATGTAATAGGAATTTGAAGTCCTCTGTTACCCTTTGGGTATTGTAATTTGATCAGACCGATATATGTTTGGTTCTGTGTACCCATTAGAGTGATAGAGGAATCGTTATTGCCTGGTTTCCCTTTTGTAAAATGGCGGCGGTGGCCTCATACCATTAAGAGACATTAACTTATAAGGAGAGAGATGTGGGACGTCCGTATCCCTTCAGACGAAGTCCGGAAGTGACGAAACGCGTTAAGGGTGTGACGTCGATACGCACGCACGCAGACCGGAAGTGTCGCCGCGGCCATTTTGTGGGTTGTTTTCACATGGCTTACTGCATTTGTTTGGCAGAACTTGCATAGGAACCATGTTGGGAGCTGGATATGTGGAATTTTAATGTAAGTGGCTATTAAAACCTTTTATATATACCTTGAATATGAGCCTTGAGACCCTTCTTGTCTTTTGAGGACCTTGGAAAAATTTCTTTGGAGAGGAAATAGAAGATCTCTGACTGGATGCTGGTTATATTGATACAGAGGGTAATAGTATGTAATACTATTGGTGTCGGTGGATACACAGTGTTGCAGTGTTCACGGAGTGGTCACAGTTAATCCATATGTGCACGAGATATATATATATATATAGTTTTTGCACAGTTTTTGTGTTTTTTGTGTTTTTTTGCACTGAGTGAATATATATTGTTTACAAAGGTAATGCACTAGATTATTCAATTTTGTTTTTTTTTGAGGTACCACGGGATGAAATAGGATTTCTTCCTACTGGATGATAAAGTTTGAATATTTGGGACTTATTTTTTGGACATTACTGTTTTTTATTGGGACACTTTTTTATTGGACTTTTTTTGGTTTTTGAGTATTTATCATTATGTAATTTGAATATTAATATGTTTTTGTAATTCTATCACAAAAAGGTTATAATATTTTTTATAATAATACGTTTGCAGACTTATAGACTTCCTCTGTGGCCTTTGGTTCATGAAACACATTGAGAATCCATCATTTATTTTCATTTTTTCTACAGCATATTGTATATTATATTTGACATATTTGATTACTGTAGTCACATTGCTGGATTGATGCATTATATATATATATATATGGTGGATAAATAGGTATACATATCATTAAGTACACAAGATGTTCCGTGAAAATGGAGGGCATAAAGAATAGTAAATCCCATCATCACCATGCACAGAATCCCACAAACCCAACTATGGACCCAAAACTACACTGAAATCAATGGGAGCCAAATCTGTGAAATGTAAAGTGGCAATGTTCTCGACTAATAGGCAAGGGGATATACAAATAGCATGGGGGAGGGGGACCAATTACCCCACCAAAAAATTATATTAGTGCAGCAGCAGTAATTTTTTAAATGCTGAACCTTTAAAAATGCCCAATTCCATAAGATACCATGCTGGGGGGGGGGGGGGGTCCTAATCCGTCCTGTGAAGTGACGCATTTTAGTGATGGACAAAAACTGAGACAGCAGCACTGACATTTATTAAGGAAAACAGTGTTAAAGGATAAGTTCCCCTTTTGTAACATGTTACAGCCATATTCAGGGGGTAACATGTAACATGTCATGATCAGACTGGCCCCCGCACCCCTCAATCCCTGCTGTGACAACCAGTAGGGGATCCTCTCCCCCTCGCTAGCTGTCAAATTTAAAAAGCAAACATGCCCATGCGGGGCCCTGCCCACCTGGCCGCATTACTCATTTACAGTCCTCTGTGAAGGAGAGGCTACAAGTCCTAAAATCCTTAGTGGCTGTCGGCTCGTAGTCCTCAATGAACTCACAGCTCCATGGTAGTTCATTCATTCTTCCTGTCAGTATATCTGCTTGTATCTCATACATCCAGTACACCCCGTACATCCAGTACACCCCGTACATCCCATACACCCCCTACATCCCTGTACATCCCATACACCCCGTACATCCCATACACCCATACAACCCGTACATTCAGTACACCCCCTACATCCTGTACATTCCAGTACACCCCATACACCCCCTACATCCTGTACATTCCCGTACACCCCATACAACCCCTACATCCCGTACATTCCCTACATCCCATACACCCCGTACATCCCCATACATCCCATACACCCCCTACATCCTGTACATTCCCGTACACCCCATACACCCCCTACATCCTGTACATTCCCGTACACCCCATACAACCCCTACAACCCCTACATCCCGTACATTCCCTACATCCCATACACCCCGTACATCCCCATACATCCCATACACCCCGTACATCCCCATACATCCCCATACATCCCATACACCCCCTACATCCCGTACATTCCCATACACCCCATACATCCCATACATCCTGTACATTATATTACTATTATTATACAGGATTTATATAGCGCCAACAGTTTTCTCAGCACTGTACATTATAAAGGGAGACAATACACGAGACAATACAGTAACAATATTTCATTTCATACACGAGGGGTTTGAGTGCCCTGCTCCTTGGTGCTTACAATCTAGGAGGGAGGGGATAGTGGTACAGGGGGAAATAGCTGTGGGGGATGGAGTGGAGGAGTTCAGTAATTATCTGAGGGCGGGGTAGGCTTCCCTGAAGAAGGGTTCACCTAAAGGTGAGGAGAGTAGGTGACAGTCTGATGGATTGGGGTAGGGAGTTCCAGAGAATGGGGGAGCTCTGGAGAAGTCCTAGAGATGGGCATGGGAGGAGGAGACCAGGGAACTAGAGAGTAGGAGGTCTTGTGAGGAGTGGAGAAGAAGGTTTGGGTGGTATATGGATACCAGATTGTTGATGTAGTTTGGGGCAGTGTTATGAACAGCTTTACACGTCAATGTTAGTAATTTGAATTTGATCCGTTGCAAATCGGAAGCCAGTGGAGAGATTGGCAGAGGGGGGTGGCAGATACGGAGCAATTAGTAAGGTGGATGAGTCTGCCCACAGCATTCAAGATAGACTAAAGCGGGGATAGCCTGCAGTGGGGTAAGCCGATGA